GGGGCATATCAGGGGTCCCCCTTTAAGGGCCCATACTAGGGGCCATGTAGCTACCCTGAGAACAGACAGCACCAGACCCATGACCGAGTCAACTCAACCGAGACATTAACCCTCAACCCTAAACCCTACACCCTAAACCCTAAACCCTAAACCCTAAACCCTAAACCCTAAACCCTAAACTAGTTGTTAAGTTTTCCAAGGAGGAGTTCAGTTGCAGGGTTTTGGGGTTTACGGGGTTACGGTTTTAGGATTTTAGGGTTTAGTAGGGTTGTGGGTTGAAGGCTTTGGGGCTGTAGGGTTTTTTGGCGTTCAGGGTTTCAGGGGTCGTGTCATGGAAGTGGTGCTCCCTATTCTCGGGCTCCTGTGCTGGGCATATGCCTCGGCTGCCTCTTATAAGAGGGTCGGAAGACTCCCGTTGCTCCTGTACAGTGTTCGGGACGATCAGAAGCTCTGCAGCAAGTGGCCTCAAATGCATGGAGTTTCACTGTGGAGGTTAAGGAGTCGAACAAGGAGAAGAAGGGGAAGAAGGGGAAGATCACCGGCCTATGCCTTCTTGCTGCGAAGCAGATCACACTGACCAAGAAGGATGACATGGAAGGAGTGCCCTGAGGGTCTGCTCCGCAATCTTGTGTGGCAGAAACAGCAGAGACCCTTGCTAGATTTGTACATGACATGACTTTTGAATTTGTCATAGCTGCACTAAACAGTCTTATTGTACATCATGTGGACTTCATGACGAACGACACAGAAGACAGGGTTTAGGGTTTAGGGTTTAGGGTTTAGGGTTAGGGTTTAGGGTTTAGGGTTTTAACCCTAGGTCACTGTGACTGCTAACGAAGCCAGCCGAAAGGCTGTCGCACTCTGGGCCACCGTTAGTTAAGCCCAAGTGACCGGTACCCAGTTTCCAACTTTTCGGCAGCTTATTGTCTCATGTTGAATACGATGGTCATGCAATTAGGGGACTTCAGTATAGGCTTGAACTCTAAGCCCTAAGCCCTAGACCCGAAACACTAAACCCTAAACCCTAACCCCCAACCCCTAACCCCTAAACCCTAAACCCCCTTCGTTTCCCCCCCCCCCCCCCACCCATGTCCAGGTGGCGATGTCCCGCCCGAAGTTTGCGCGCTGCTGCTGTCCGTGGCAGCGGCGCTCAGCGACGCGCCGAGTGTCGAGGAGCTGGCAGAGCCCTGAACTCCCCATACCCCGGGGACCGAATGAACCCTGAAAGGGTTTGGGGTTTAGGGTTTAGGGTTTGGGGGGTAGGGTTTAGGGTTTGGGGTTTGGGGTTTGGGGTTTAGGGCTTAGGGTTCTGGGTTTGGGGCTAACCCTAAGGGCCCATGTTTACTATTTTATATTTGGGCCCTCGGGTCCCTATATAGGAGGTACTTTGAGGCCCAAATATTCCCTATTTATGTACATGGACCCTTAGGGCCATACCTTGGGGTTCACATGAACCCTAATTCGAAGGGTTTATGGGCCATACTATTAGGGGACCCGAAAATCAGGGACCCTCATCCCTAAACCCTAAGCCCGAATTTAGAGAACTACCCATATGTGAGGGGGTTACAACCTTGGGGACCACATGAACCCTTAACGGGATTATGGTCCAGGCTCCTTAGCAGGGGTTGCAGTCGTACAGGGTGTATATGACTCGTATGACTCCAATTTTAAGGTTCTGTATGTCCCCAAGGTAAGCCGGGGAACAAACCTTTAAAAAGTCCACGTGCAGGGTTTAGGGTTTAGGGTTTAGGGTTTAGGGTGTAGGGTTTCGGGTTTAGGGTTTAGGGCTTAGGGCTTAGGGTTTAGGGTTTAGGGTTTAGGGTTAGGGTTTAGGGTTTAGGGTTTAGGGTTTGGCCCCGAAGCAACTCATCTTTAGAGGCCCAAAGCCTGGAGCTCAACAGAATGTTTCCAACTCCTCGACTTCACAACCCAAAACCCTAAACCCTGAACCCTCCGTTTAGGGCATCCTAAATTCCAAGCCTGTAGCCCTACACCCAAACTCCAAGCCCCGTAGCCCTGAACCCCAGGGCCCTTCAAGACCCCTTGGGTTTTCTTGTATTCCATCTTTCAACGGCTGTCAGAGGGTTTGATTTTTTCCGAGAGTTTCCCTAAACCCTAAACCCTAAACCCTGAGCTCCTACATTCGAAAGCCCTTAGCACCAGGCTGCCGCCCAGATGCTGCTGCAGACGGGGCCACTTACGGAGCTGCAGGCGCGCGGCAAAGCGTTGAGCGTTTCGGGTTTTACCTCAAACCCTAAAAGGGTTCAGGGTTCAGGGTTCAGGGTTCAGGGTTCAGGGTTCAGGGTTTAGGGTTTAGGGTTTAGGTAAGGTTTCATATACCCTAGTAGGAATTATCGTAGTATCGGGTATATGACCCCAATTTTAGGGTTCATTTGGTCCTCAATGGAGTGCTTCAGGACTTGTCATGGGTCTCTAACTCTAAGGTTGTACGCTTGGGGCCCTTTTAAGGACCCTCTAGCGGAATATGAAACAGGGTTTATATTACTGTTATTGGTGAGTTCCTTTTTAATATTGGTGAGTGTATATACCTGGTGTCCTTTTGGAGGTACAAGAAATATATACCCTACATCATATGAGGGCCATATTTGGATAAAAAGAAGGGAACCTCCTAGGGGTACAGCAGCTCGGTCCAATTTTGACTCTATGCGTTTTGGCTGGAGGCTCAAGAAGCCAAGCCTACTCTTTATTTGCAGTATTAGCCTCATCATTATGCTGGCCTATAAGCGACCACAGCTTACAAACGATGCTTTGGGACCATGTTCCAAGATAGTAGAATCGCTACACTCGGCAGCAGCTGTGAAATTTGTAGCTACTTTGGTGGCCCAAACATTCCAACGAAAGTATCTAGATCCGTGTGGGGATACATATGACAGGTTCGGGTGTCAATGAATACCTGGAACCTCTGCATACGCGAAAAAATGGCCACAAACCAAATTTGCACTAAAAACAGCCAAGATGCTCCAAAACAAGCATTGTTGACCAAAACAGCCATGACAAACAAAAACAGCCTTTGTCCTGGTGAGGGCACGCTTGCCCACATGCAAAGCAAGACTATGCTTCAGGGTCCCTTCTGCGTAGCACATGTCGACCAAAGGTTTGCTTCTGATGTCATGACAATCTGAAGGTACGGGTCAGGTTCTCGCCTGTTTCAGCGAGACAAGAAACGAATTCCGGCAAATTCCGCCTTTTTCCGGCTAATTCCGCCTTTTTTCCGGCCATTTCCGCCTTTTTCTTCAGGTTTGCGTGTTGTTTGAGTTTGCAAGTTCTGGGTTCCTGCTTGTGGCTTCAGGCTTTCGTTGCTTCAACAAGCAAGAATCCGCAGAAAACGTAGCAAGCAAACGTCCTCTAGTTGAACACCGTCACAAATTTCAATGTAGCCTTTTTGTCGGCTGCTTAGCCAAATTCCGCCCCACGGGCTTGTCTTGAAAAAGGCTGCTTTCATGGAAAGGCTGTTTTTTCACATAATTTGAAGGGTCTAGGTACTCCTTGCACCAAACTAAGGTGCGTTGATCATATCGGTGAGGGGAGCCCTAGATTGTAGCTTGCCACCCTCTCTACACCTTGGCAATCAACCTCGAGATCGTTTCATTGGGGGTCAGGTTTTCGGGTTTAGGGACGTATAAACCCTACCTGCATTGCAGACTCAGGTGGTGCTGGTTTGGCTGAGTCGCTGTGTCAAGGGGTGACTTGCTGACGTCGCTTCACGGAACTCTATTAGATATTCTTTCGGTCTGCATACCACAAGCCCAAAGCCCAAACCGGAAGACCCTTAGACCCTACGACCCTAAACCCAAAACCCCAGGACCCCAAATCCTAGAACCCCAAACCCTAAGAAAACCCTGAAACCCTAAACCCTAAGACCCTGAAACCCTAAACCCTAGGCCCTAGGCTTTGCTCAAGGTCGCCACCTTGAGAGATGCGGTTGGAGACCAGCGAGCGGAAGGCTTGCTTTGCTGCTTACTACTTACTAACCCCACTTGGTTCCAGGCTTCTTTGCAGGTTTAGGGTTTAGGCAGTCTAGGGAGTTTAGGGTTTAGAGTCTAGGGTGTAGGGTTCCCAAAAAATAGGTGCCCCAGTGGCGCCCGTATTCCCAGGGCTTTCCTTGGAAGTCCCTTAAGACAAAAGTGGCACCCTTCCGTACCTGGGCAGCCTTTAAACCTTGAGGATGGAATTAATCAGGATCAAAACCAGGGTTTAGGGCCTTGGGGTTCTGGGTTTAGGGCTTTGGGATTCGCAGGCTCTCGCGCCCCCCCCCCCCCCCCCCCCCCCCCCCCCCCCCCCCGCCCCCCGCCCCCCTCCCCCCCCCCCCCCCCCCGCCCCCCGCCCCCTCCCCCCCCCCCCCAAGAAAGAAATGAATACATAAAGATGGCCCCAAATACTAGATCAGTGTTAGGGATCCTTTGTACTTTTGGGTTATGGGCTTTCTTATATATGAACAAAAAGGATCCTTTTTTCTTCCTAGGGGAACAGGTTTTAAGAATAGACGGCAAGAAGCACTTGGGGATTCGGCCTTGGGTCTGGTGAGGGGGGCGCTGAAGGATTTTCTCAAACGAAGGAGAGACCCGAAGGGTGTCGTGGCAAGCTGGAACCATGGCCAGAAACTTTGGGTTGGGTTGGGTTTAGGGTTTAGGGTTTAGGGTTGTAGGGCGTGGAGGCCTTGTTACCCTAAACCCTGAAGGCATGCGGCGCCCCCCATGACATCTCTTAAGGCCTTATGGAGTACCCTTTTGAGGGCTTGGGCTTTCCTAGATCAGTGTTAGGGATCCTTTCTACTTTTTGGGTTATGGGCTTTCTTATATATGAACAAAAAGGATCCCTTTTTTTCTTCCTAGGGGAACAGGCATTAAGCTAAAGGCTTGACTTGACTCACTTGCCTGCTCCTCCGCTAGCCATTCGGCTTGGACCTGGCGAGGCCTTACGAAGCGTGCTTCGGCCCTCCACGTGTTCTCTTAGGCGCGTAGGCTTGGGAGGCCCCCAAGATGGCGGCACGAAAGGCGGACGCCTCGCCGCGGCCCCGTGGCCGGATTGAGACATCAAGAGCCCAAGAGGATCCTGGGAATAAGGGTTTAGGGTTTAGGGTTTAGGGTTTAGGGTTACATAAGCCTCTACCCTAATAAGGGTCCATGTCAGCAAGACGGAAAGAAGGGCCTGCTCTGGGTCCGAGTAGTTTAAGGAAGCGTTCTTGCCTTTGCCTGGGTCCCAGATCGCCTATTATCAGGGTCCATGTATCTAAATAGGGAATATTTGGGCCCTAAAGTACCTCCCATTTGGGGACTTTAGGGCCCAACTTAATAAGGTATCAAAAGGTACATGGACCCTTGGGGTCTCAGGCCCTTGGGCGGTTTCCGAGCTCCTGAGTTTTTTGGGGAGGGTTTAGGGTTTAGGGTTTAGGGTTTAGGGTTCAGGGTTTAGGGTCTAGGGTCTAGGGCTTTTGGTGGGGCGCATGGGGTTAGGCCCCAGGCCCTGGAGTGGAATTTGCTGGGCGAAACCGCCAGGGATGCCGCTTGTGAACCCCCTTGCGGGGAGCATCGCTTTGCCCGCAGGTTTGGGGGCACTTGGTTTCACAGCGTATGGGCCGGTTCTTCACCAGGGTTTAGGGTACCCTTGTTAACACCACAAAGCCAAACAGCAAAGCAATGAACAGGGTCTGGTCTGGGACTTCGAGGCTCCACGGGACCCTTACCCTAAGGGTCCATGTGCCTCATTATTACGTACTTGGGCCTTAACGCCCCTAAATAGGAGGTACTTTGAGGCCCCCGTATTCCCTATTTTGGTACCTGGACCCTTATAGGGTTATCCAAGCGTCCTCAGGTCGCAACTGAGTAGATCAAGTTCACATCCGCAGCCAAGCGAACGCTCAGGATTTTTGAGGCCCTCTTGGTTCGAGGGTTCAGGGTTTAGGGTTTAGGGTTTAGGGTTTAGGGTTGCAAGTGTAGGGCTTGAGGGGCTTTGGGTCCCTGGGTGCTGAGTGGGTTTAGTAGCTTAGCTGGTTTTTTTGGGGGTTACTGAGTGTTGGTCTTTCGGCGTGCGGAACCCTATGCCCTAAATCCCTAAAGGCCCCAGATCCAAAACCCCTGGTTTAGGGTTTAGGGTTTAGGGTTTAGGGTTTAGGGTTTAGGGTTTAGGGTTTAGGGTTTAGGGTGTAGCGCATCTTGACACACTCTGAATCGAAGAAGCCCAGAGAAGTGCTAGGCTTGACACACGCATGGACCTCTGCCGGACAAGACCCTTCACCGTTGAGGGTTTAGGGTGTAGGGTTTTGGGTTTAAACCAGGGTGTGGGGTCCAGGAATGCTTGGGGTCCGGTCTAGGGGCTACAGGGTTTGGGGCGTGTAGAGCTTAGGGCTTCTGGCTCCTCCAGAAACCCTCTCTCCCCCGCCCCCCGCCCCCGTCTCCACGAAAGTTCCTCCAACAAAAAGCGCAGTCATCTCAAGCTAGGGGGATGCCCTACATTCAAAAACTCTCAAATTTCAGCCCCCCCGACCGTAAACTTCCCAAACCCCTATTCCCTAAACCCTAAACCCCGAACCCTAAACCCTGCAAAACCTAAAACCTCAACGCCTTGACCGCTAAGCCCCGAGCTGTCCAGTTGGCAGGCAGACGTCCGACTCCGGCTCCTTCTTGGCATTTGGGTTTGGGGTTTGGGGTTTAGGGTTTAGGGTTTAGGGTTTAGGGTTTAGTAAGGGTTTAGGATTTAGGGTGTAGGGTTTTTGGAATGTTCCCCTTCTACTAACAGTCCTTAATATTTGATTATGGTACCCCCTCCAAGTAGAATCCCTACTAAGGACTGTTAGTATAGGGGGAACATCCCAACCTAAATCCTACACCCAAAACCCTAAACCCTAAACCCTAAACCCTAAACCCTAAACCCTAAACCATGTGTTTGTACTTCAGTGCTGGTTAGGGCGCTTTTGGGTGGCCTTAATAGTAGGGGGCCGCACATTACTAACCCCAAAAGGGACCATAGTTCGCAGAAGTGACCACATGCGACCCTAAACCCTAAACCCTAAACCCTAAACCCTAAACCCTAAACCCTAAACCCTAAACCCTGAACCGGTTGAGTTGAATCATGGGCCTGGCTTGGTGTTTTAGACGAAAAGACTTGTCTTGCATGGAGTGTTAGCCCTAAAGCCTAAACAGGCCCTCAGCCCGAACCCCACCCGCCACATAATGAGGCCTGCGATCACCCCGAATCTGCTGGCAGGTTCTTAGTAGGGAATGAATGAGACACCTATAGAATCCCGTAAAGGGTATATATTTTTCTAGGGCTCTAATTCCCTCATTCCCTACTAAGAACCAGGGAGCTCTAGTATTCCCAAACCCTAAACCCTAAACCCTATTTAGGTACATGGACCCTCAGGATTCCCTACCAAGAACCCCGGGGGTCTGTTGCAATGAGTGGCAGGTGCCGTGTCTTTTGCCCGGCGAGCAGGCTCTGGAGTTTTCGTTTAGGGTTTAGGGTTTAGGGTGTAGGGTTTAGCTATGTTTAGCAAATAGGGTTTCGGGGATAGGTTTTAGGAGGTGTTTTCATGAAGCGCCATGTGCTCAGAGCTCTCTAAATGAGAATTCCTTGTCAGGTCCCTCTTGATACGGCCTCACATTTGTAAGGAAGGCAATGCATACATCAGAAGAGAAGGGTTGGTCGTCAGAAGATAATGGTTGGCCGCCCCAGGCGAAACACAGCAGAGACGATGAACTACGGAGGTAATTGTTCCCCACCTAAACCCTATAAACCGTAAACTCTAAACCCTAAACCCCCTAAACATCTCGGTGCGGGGCGGTTAGAGTTCACGGTAAACTCTTCTCGCCCGGTCTGCTCCTCGCCGATCACTCGTATCCCACCACAGAGTATCCCTAGAGTGTCCCTGGAAAGCCCAACCCCAGAGTGTCCCTGGAAAGCCTAACTCCAGAGTGTCCCTAGAGTGCCCAAATCCCCAAAAAATCCAAACCTGCAGGGTGGGGATGTTGGAAGTAAAACAACTTCTTTAACTCTTGTTTCCATTGTTGTTTTTTTTTTTTTTCTGTTTGTAGGGTGTGCAGTAAAAGCACCTACTTAGAGACCTACCCGTAACCTTCAAGCTTCTCTGCGCGTGCTGCAGACCTCCCCAAAATCCAGCGGGATCCAGGGTTTAGGGTTTAGGGTTTAGGGTTTAGGGCTACTTTGACAATACGGCTGGCTGCACATAGATGCTACCTTCAGTCAACTTCCGATTTCCAGGTTACGCCCTCGAATGAACACTCAACAGAAGCGGGATCCTGACCTCAGACCGATGTGTGAAAACGCAACACTCCTTTTTCTATGGTTTAGGGTTTAGGGTTTAGGGTTTAGGGTTTAGGGCTGCTAGGACCGGGAGTACGCTCTTATTTCCTTTTTTCAGGGTTGGGGTTCCCTTATATCCTAGGTTACTCCCGGGTCTAGACAACTGGGTCCAGGTACTTCAAAGATTTTTCAAAGGGGATTTTGTGGGCTCCGAGGTCAAAAAAAGTAGGGTTTGGGGCTGTAGCCTGTAGGAACGTTGATGGAAGATGTTCCCGGGCGCCACAGAGTGGGCATTTCCATGTATTTCCCAAATGGGGGGGTGCCCCTTTATATACCCCAACTAGAATGGAATCCCCTGAGAGGGACCCAATAAAAAAGTGTATCCCTATTTTCGGAAACCCTCAAGTGTTTCTGAACCCTAAACCCTAAAACCCCTAAAACCCTAAAAAACTCAAAAACCCTAAAAACCCTAAAAACCCTAAAAACCCTACACCCCCTTAACTACTACTTGGTTCAGAAGTACCATGAATCTCCCGGCAGGCTCGCCTGCCGTGCAGGGCAACGTGCGGGGCCTGCTCAAATTTGCCAAGGACAATCCAGCGGCGCCTCGGCTGCGGTATGTTGTCTGGGCCAATTATTGCGAGCCCAGCGAGCTCAGCGAGGAAGGTTCGCGAAATAGCGATAAATTGGCGAGGTACGCGGTGTGAATTAAGAAGGGGGGGGGGGGGTGGGAGTGACCGCGGGTGTTTTCCCCCCACCCCCAACCTCCCCCAATTTGCAGCAAATGCCCGTCCCCCCCCACCCCCCCCCTGCCCGCCCCTACCCCCATCCCCCCCCAAAAAAAAACAAAAAAACGAATTTGCAGCAAATTCGAAGAAAACAAAAACACCACCCCCCGTCCCTGGCTTGGGGCTTCGGGTCTAGGGGTTTAGGCGCTCTTCGGTTTGAGCTACTCTTTGCTTACGAGGCCCAAACCCTGAAAACCTAAACCCTGAACCCTAAACCACAAAAAACAATTTGGCTCAGGGAGAGACCTGTTTCTACAGATTTCGTTGGCACAGCGAGTAAGGCGCCGCCCTTCAACATGAAAGTTCCCCAGCTCGATTCCTTGAGGGTGTCCGCGCGAATTTGCTGCAAATTCGTTTTTCTTTGGGGTGAGGGCCTGCCCCCCCTCTACCCCCAAAAACAACGACACACACACCGCCCTTCCCCCGGCCCAACCCCCTACCCCCTACTCCCCCCCCCACCCCCAACCAACCACAAAAAAAAACAACGAATCTGCGGCAAATTCGAACACCCCCCCCCCCCCCCCCACAAAAACAACGAACCCCCCAACAAAAACAACGACCTCGTCCCGCCCCCTCGCCCCCTCGCCCCGCCGACATTTCGAATTGCTGCCTCGGCCTTTGCCTTGCCTGGAGGATAGGCCGGCTCGGTCGTTCGCCTGGGGCTCCCTCGCAGGGTCTCACTGAGCGCTCAACCAGCCCCCCGACCCCAAAAGTGTTTAGAAAGTGTAGGGCGGGTCTAGGCCAAACCCTAAACCCTAAAGCCTAAACCCTAAACCCTAGACCCTTTACAGAACCAGGCCTTCGCGCTTTCCATTGAGGCCGGAGATGCCATTGATGGCAATTTGGGGCTTAGGGGTTTCGCGTTGAGGGTTAGGGCTTATAAGGGTTTAGGGTTTAGGGTTTAGGGTTTAGGGATGGAATATGAGGCTTGAGAGGTCAGGGTTCTTGGTGAGTTTAGGGTTTTGGGCTTTTAGGTTTCTAACGGGGTTTTAGGGGAAGGTGATGCTCTTTGGCTGCAGAGGTCAGGGTGTCAGGTCCAGGGTTTACACAGGCCCTATTGTGTAGGGTAGGATGTAGGATGCTGCAATATTCCGTAACAGTGCAAACCACTCTTAAGCCTTGGGGTTTAGCCGTAAATCCCTCAACCCGGTATGCTTACCCGGATGCTTCTGGATTTGAAAGTTGAGGGTTTAGGGTTTAGGGTTTTGGGGTTCTGGATGGGAGTTGGATGTGGGATGTGGAGGGTTCAAGGTTCCAGTTTCACCTGAACACTCACGCCTTTGACTTAGCGCTTAGGCAGCCCCAAACCCTAAACCCCAAACCCTAAACCCTGAACCCTGAACCACAATGGGCAAAAGTCTGAGGCAGGGTGTGCAGAGGGTTGGCCCCATGCTGGGAAACCTGTTGCCCGCCTCCATGCCCCAATCCCGAACCAAAACTGTTTAGGGTGTTCAGGTTTAGGCCTTAAACTGGGGTCATACGCCCTCTACGACTATAACCCCTATTCAGGAGCATGGACCATCAACCCTTTTAGGGTTCATCTGTTCCCCAAGCTTGGGGTTTCTTGATGGCCAGATGTTGCGCGCGCAAGACGACATCAAGCGCGACGCTGGGGACACTTGGGCTGAAAAGTCCCCCAACCCTTGAACTCTTATACCCTTATATCCTTACTTGGTAGCCCACTGGTACCTTTTACCCTTTTTTGTCGTGCTGGGTTCCCTTAGAAAGTAGCCAACCCCAAAACGGGTGCCCTTGTTGTGATATGGTTACCGGGCTACCAAGCTTAAGCCGTTCATAATTCTGAGGGGCGCAATTGTGTTCGTAAACTCCAATACGCTGCAGAGGATCCCATAGCCTGCGACATCCTCCTATACCCGACAACCAAACCCCAAACTAGAACCCCAAACTCCCCAAACCCCAATCTCTACTTGGGCAGCCAAGGGATTCCGCTTTGAACCCTAAACCCTAAACCCTAAACCCTAAACCCTAAACCCTAAACCCTAAACCCTAAACCTAAAAGCCTCTACTGGCAGCCGAGGGCTTTGCCGCCTTCGGGTCTGTATCCCCGAACTCCCCGAGCACCCTTGATGATGTCCCACGTACTGCAACAAGAAGGCAGTGGCCCTAAACCCCTTGAACCCTCAACCCTAGACCCTAAACCCTAAACCCTAAACCCTAAACCCTAAACCCTAAACCCTAAACCCTAAACCCTAAACCTCTTGCAACAATTCAACCCTGAACGCTAAATCCAAGCCCTCCATATCCGGCAAAACCCTACGGCAGAAGGTCCCCACCACTTCAATCTCTCAAGTACCTAAATAGGGAATACGGGGTCCTTAAAGTACTGTACCTCCCATTTAGGGACTTTAAGGCCCAAGTACATAATAATGAGGCACATGGACCCTTAGGATTAGGGCTTCGGGTTTTGGGTCTTCCGGTTTAGGGGTTTAGGGTAGCGCATCAGGGGGAGGGGGTTTCGAGCGGACCGTAGGTTTCTCGCAGCATGCATGAATTGGACGCACGAGTTCACCCTCTTTTAAACAACCTAGGGCTTTTTAGGTCATCTACGAACATGTAGGCTTTGCGGTCTTAAGGGTTTAGGGTTTAGGGTTTAGGGTTTAGGGAGGCTAACCCTAAACCCTAAACTAGCCGAGGCAAGGCGAGGGCCGAGCCCTTATCTCAAGCTGGCCATGGACAGCTGGACTGCTGGCTAGACTGGCTGGCTCTTAGCAGGGAGTGAGGGAATGAGGTACCCTAGGGTTCAGGTTTTAGGGTTTAGGGTTTAGGGGGAATGAATCAGTACGCTATCTAAACCCTTAAGCCTTAAAGGGTATGTAGAGGGCCTTAATTCCCTCATTCCCGGCTAGGAACCAGGAGGTAGAGGGGCAACGGGGGTCGGGCAAATTTGGAAGAGAAATATAGGACCAATGGTACTCCCCTTATCTTCCCTATGTTATCATCACCCCCCCCCCCCCCCTCACAACCCTATTCTAATTATTAAGGCGCTTGTATCAGGGTGTTGTTTTTGGGATACGGGTTCTCCCAGAGGGCAAGAGGTAGTGCAGACTGTTCATCAATGTAGGCGGCTCGGGCTCAAAAAAATGCTCTGGCGAAGAACCCTTTTCGCCTGGACCCGAAACCCTAAACCCTAAACCCTAAACCCTAAACCCTAAACCCTAAACCCTAAACCCTAGATCTGTCCGACCACGAGCCCCCTACGCCGAACACCTGGGTGTGGGGACAACAAATACTTCAGGATGCTCCATCGATACCCGGCCTTGTTCCCTTTAGGGGAAGGATCCCCTTGTAAACATCTTAACATTGCAAGGCACCTGGTCAATTCACAGGCTACTTGGGAACCTGATTTTTTTGTTTAGCCAAGAAGGTTTTTGTGCAAACCCTAAACCCTAAACCCTAAAGCCTAAACCCTAAACCCTAAACCCTAAATCTAAACCCTAAACCCGGGGTTGAGGGTTGAGGGTTAAAGCCATATAAAACACTCGCGACAGGCGGGCAAGACCTTTAAAAAGAAGCGCTCTTACCCCAGCATTCACATCAGCGTAAACCCAGAACCTGAAAGCCGAAAGCAGCTCAAAGCCACTCAGCCCTAAACAGCCCTAAACTCTAAACCTTAAATCCCCAATCCCAAACCCTGAGCCCGAAGCCCTAAACCCTAAACCCCAAACCCCAAACCCTAAACCCAAACCTAGGCTTTTGATGCATGAGCTTTGCCCAACGGTGTTTGCAAGCAAGGTGGTCATGTGACTCTCTATTGGACCGCTAAGGTGGTTCCCTTGGGTCTGGGGACCTGTAATAGTTCAAGGTTTAGGGTTCAGGTTTAGGGTTTAGGGTTTAGGGTTTAGGGTTTAGGGTTTAGGGTTTAGGGTTTAGGGTATAGCATATATACGGGCCATATGAGGAGTGTATGAAGGGGAGCTCTTAGGGGCGCGACCTTCGGGGTCTGAGTCTTAAGCCCTTGAAAACAGACGCCGAAGCCACCCAATCAATGTTTCGAGGGTGAGGCCTTAAAGCGTCGACGAAAGTGGTCGGAATAATTACTAATGGTATTCCCTTATGGTCCCTTTATAGTTGTACTAAATAACCTCTACACCCTTATGGTCCCTTTGTAGTTATGCTATAATAACCCTCAAAATCCTATTCTAATTATTAAGGCCCCCTAAAACCTGAACCCTCAACCCTAAACCCTAACTTTTCAACATTACACCCTTCGAAGGAACGGGCGGCAAATCTCCCCACTCTCGCCAAGCGAGGGCGTCAATCTGAGCCCGTTTTCGGTCACGTCTCTCGGTAGGCCGCTGGGATGTTCTATATTTTCCCTGGGTTTAGGGTTTAGGGTCTAGGGGTTAGTGCCCCCTTATTGGTTTTTGAATAGGGCCGTGTTTCAGAAAAGTCTTTCTAATCGTTGCTGGGTCCAACCGAGGTCACCTACACTATCCCCGAGTATATTTCAGACAGACGAGCACCCGTGTCTCGGCGAGCTTCGACTTGCAGCCCACATGCCCTATGAAGCCGGAAGCAAGCCTGAAGACCCGGCTTTAGGGTTTAGGGTTTAGGGTTTAGGGTCTAGGGAAACCTTCGTGGCCCTAAACCCGAACTCCAAATCCTGCGAACCAAAACCAAGATCCCAAGGAACACTAACCCTAAGGGTCCATGTACCTCATTATTATGCACTTGGGCCCTAAAGTCCCTCAATAGCCCCCTATTCCCTATTCAGGTACATGGACCCTTAGGGTAACACCCAGACCCGGCAACACCCAGACCCGACTGCCGTGGCTTCAAAGCTGCCACAACGCGCACCTCCTTTGCCTGTGCGGGCTTCCATAGAGAGGGTTTAGGGTTTGCGTTTTAGGGTTTAGGGTTTAGGTTTAGGGCTTAGGGTTTAGGGTTAGAGACGCAGAGAGGAGTACCGGCGAGGAGGATGGTTGACTTCAACTCTAACCACCCACGTCGAGGGTGGGGAACTAACCAGGCTCAAATGCCCTATTAAATGCAGGAGACCAAAACATCATCACTTCTAGGTGGGACTTTACTACAACTGTATCACTTTATCTTCCTCTAATTTCATATTAAGGGAGCTAAAATTTAACTTTTACTGGGGGTTAAAGAGCAACCAACACTATATGTACAGAATACACGCGACCCACAACACCCATCCCTATAAACCCTGAACCTTGACCTTCATTCGAATTAATTGCTCGGCCCTACTAGGCGCCCCTCTTCATTTGTTTGGAAGCTGTGTTCCGCTTATGCTGGAGAGTGTGATCTAAACCCCAAACCCTAAATTTGGGGTTGAGGGTGCGGGCTCAGGGGGCTTCAGCCCGAAAAGAGTCAGCCAAGCTACAGCTGGAGCCACTGGTCAGCACATGAAACAGGATTTCTACTACTGTTGTTTGTGAGGGCATTTAGAGTCTTCTATATATTGGTGAGTGTATTCATGGTTGCTGCCCACTCTGGCCCCTGTCCCACTCCCTCCTCTCTTTGGTTTGGTTGTGGATTGGTTGTAGGGGTTTAGGCTTCTTCAGAGCCCGGTTACTGGGTGTGTGCAAACCCTGAACCCTAAACCCTGAACCCTAAACGGTGAACATTAGACCCTCTATGGGGGCTTACGGTATTTGGGGTACCTTATTGGGGTCCTTATGAAAGGATCCTACTCTTTGGGGTCTATCTTACCCTTAGGGTCCAGGTACCAAAATAGGGAATACTGGGGCCTCAAAGTACCTCCTATTTAGGTTGTTTAAGGCCCAAGTACATCATAATGAGGCACATGGACCCTTAGGGTCAGAGGTTTATGTAACCCTAAACCCTAAACCCTTATATACCCTAAACCCTAAACCCTAAACCCTAAACCCTAAACCCTAAACCCTAAACCCTAAACCCTAAACCCTAAACCCTAAACCCTAAACCCCTGACCCTTAGGGTTAGGGCCCCCAATTTCGTAAACCCCCGTATGGCTGGCTCAGCTTGAGTTACCAGAGGAGCCCAGTCAAGATCCTGCTTGAAAGGGGCCTTTGAACCCTAGGGTTTAGGGTAGGGATTTAGGGTTTAGGGTTTAGGGTTTAGGGTTTAGGGTTTAGGGTTTAGGGTTTAGGGTTTAGGGTTTAGGGTTTAGGGTTTAGGGTTTAGGGTTTAGGGTTTAGGGTTTAGGGTTTAGGGTTTAGGGTTTAGTGTCTACACCCTAGAAGCCTCAAGCCCCAGAATACCTCCTCAGACCCGCATCCCGACCAAGTTCCCAGATCCTGGAGGCAGGACCCCGAAACGCTGGTAGCCTAGGACCGGGAGTGTTTAGGGTGTAGGGTTTAGGGTTTAGGGTTTAGGGCTACTAGGACCGGGAGTGGCCCTTCGTGCCTTTTTTTAGGGTTGGGGTTTTCTTGCAATACCCTTAAAACCAAAAAGGGTACCTTTCATTCCTAGGTTACTCCCGGGTCTTGTAGCATAGGCGTCAGAATAATTGCTACTCGTCTTCCCTTAGGGCCCCTTAAATTTTAATTATTCAGGCCCCTATATGAGCAACTCTTCTTGTCCAGAGGTTCTAAGAAAAGTTGCATGGCCCCTTAATATGTTCGCCCTACTTTCTTTCAAGGGTTCTGGGTTTTAGTGGGTAATTATAAGGGGTACTTTTTGGTTTCCTTAGTTAAGGGAGGTTCCACCCCGACTCCTCTACATTACGTTGTGTGGAAGAGCCTGGGTTTCGGGTTCAGCCCTGACGCACTCAGGTGACGTGAAGAGGAATTCTGCAGGAGTAGTTACAGGCTTTCGTTCCGCGAGGGCACTTGCGCAGTGCCTTCAGAGAGGTGCGAGCTGTGTCGTTTCGCTCTAAGGAGCTAAACCCTAAACCCTAAACCCTAAACCCTAAACCCTAAACAGCTCCCTTGATGGGCGTTTTGGTGCTTTCGCCTGGGGGCAGCCGGTCAGCTGCAGTTTGCTGCACTGCGCCGGCTCTATTTTTGCCCGGGCAAGGAGCCGCTACTCCACTGTGTGTGCAGCTGGCCCCAAGCCCGAAGCCCTATAATTTTCAGCGCTTATGGGTTGAGGGTTCAGGGTTTAGGGTTTTAGGTCTGGGTTGTATGGTTTGGCGTTTCATTGGGACCTTGTTCGCCCTAAACCCCAAATCCTAAACCCTAAACCCTGAACCTGTTTTGTCGTTGCCAGCTGATGCCGGTTCCTTGTGCTCGGTCCGGGTTCCACGTCCAGGCGCGAAGGCGGCAGATGCGACTTACACCCAGCAGATGGGGTTTGAAGGTTTGGGGTTTGAGGTTTGAGGGTTTAGGTTCCCCTCAGCCCGAAACCCTCTACCCTCCGAATCCTCAACCCTCACAGGGCCTCCTGATGGAAACGGTGACGCCTGGGTTCCTGTTCTGGTGTAGCAGTTAGGTCCCCGTTTCGCCTGCGAATTTTGGGAGTTGGGGTAGTGGATGGGGGATGCAACCTGCTACTTTGTAGGCTTAGGGCCTACAGGTCGGAACCCCTATACCCTGAACCCTAAACTTGGAGTTGCGGATGCAACTTGTGAGGTCCATGCCATGTACAACTCAAGCGGGCAGTCTCCCCGCAGAAACCCCTCGCAGAAGCCTCATGATCACCCGTAAGACATCAGATGCTCTAACTCTGAAGCTTCCCTCATCCTCAATCTTAACGTTACACTAAAGTCCCTTGGGCTCAGGTCTTGCCCTAAACCCTAAACCCTAAACCCTTAAACCCTTAAACCCTTAAACCCTTAAACCCTTAAACCCTTAAGCCCTAAGCCCTAAGCCCTAAACCCTAAACCCTAACTGAGGCGAGGCCGAAGCTGTTCTGTGCGATCTGCCCTAATCCCTACACAGCAAGCTGCCTCTGCATGCATGGGTAGTCAGGTTGCAGCTGTCCCTTTTTCCACGTCGCTGGGAGGGACGAGAAATTCGCTTTTGCACTCTCCCCGGAGAGCCGGTAGCTGACAGCCCCTGGGTTTAGGGTTTAGGGTTTAGGGTTTAGGGTTTAGGGTTTAGGGTTTAGGGCTTAGGGTTTAGGGTTTAGGGGTTAGGGGTTGAGGCGGTTAGGGGTTAGGAGTTAAGGGCTGGGCGCTTCGCCGGTCCTTACGCTCACAGCAGCCACCTCTCTGGGAATCTTCCTTGTTCCTTGAAATGTGTCGATGCCGCGGGAGATATATGTTTACGGTTGAGACGGTGCACCCTAAACTTTAAACCAACTTTGAACCCGAAACCCTAAACCGTAAACCCAATACCCCAAACCCCATACATTGGCCTCCTTTGGGCGCGGCAACCCTTCATCTCTAGACCCTGTCTAATGTTGGACTGTCTTCTGCAAAGGCGCCTCCCTTTCAAGATAAGCTTGCCGGCTTTAAGCAGGGTCGCTCACCCACCCCCTAAACCGCAGAGCTTTTGACAGCTTGTTGAAGCCTTGGGGGTGTCTAAACCCTAAGCCCAACAAACGACGAAGGAGGGTTGTCGTGTTCAGTTTCACCAGGATGCCCAATAGTACCCTTATTCCCTTTTTTGGGGGGGTTGAGGCTCCCTGAAAAACGCCTTTAATCAAAAAAGGGCGCCCCTTTCAATCCGGGCAACCGCCCTAAACCCTAAACCCTAAACCCTAAAAGGAGTCCCACAATGCATTTTTTGCCACACGACCGTACGGGTCCGGGTTTGGGACTTCGTTGTAGCCCTAAACTCTAAACCCTAAACCCTTAACCGTAGTAGCCCTATACCCTAAACCCTAAACCGCAGGGTACAAGGTTGAACTGTTTGGGCTCAGACCCTGGGCTAAACCACTCGAAGCCCTTTGGGGCTCAGACCCTGGGCTAAACCACTCGAAGCCCTTCTTATTAAACCCCCAAATGGGTTTAGGGTTTAGGGTTTAGGGCTTAGGGTTTTCCAGTTTAGGGTTCAGGGTTTAGGGTTTTCGAGGTTAGGGTTTAGGGTTTAGGGATGCCCCCTCCTGGAGCCTCAAAGTCCCTGATGGGGTTTAGGGTTTAGGGTTTATGTAGGGTTTAGGGCTTAGGGTTTACGGTTTAGGGTTTAGGGTGCCCCCATGCCTGTGCGGCACGGCCAGCATTTGTGCGGGCTTGTTTTAGACGCCTGCGGCATGTGGGCGTTTCCCCAAGTAGGGTTTAGGCTTTAGGGCGAACTTTGGGGGGAGTTCCTGCAATGCGGATGATCGTAATCTTGGGGTATCGTAAGAGGCCCCCTCTTTTTGGGAGATGCCCAGGTGCTCTTTTATCAAAAAGCTCTCTGGCAGTGCGAAAACCACAATTAAAGCTCAGCTAGGCAAGGCTTCAAACCCTAAACCCCAAACCGATAAATAAATAAACAAACACACACACACACACACACACACACATATATATATATATATATTATATAAACATATGTAGGCTCCGGCAGCGACATGTTACTTTGCCAGCCCAGTGGTACCCTTTTACACTTTTGTGTCCTGGGTTCCCGTATAAAGTAACCAGCCCCAAAAAGGGTTTAGGGTTTAGGGTACGATGGCTACTGGGCTATGAAGGTTAGAGCCAAGAAGACGAACACGAATGACAGCCAAGGTGCCTATCAAGTGATGCAGACTGGTACCCCTAAGGTTGTACCCCTAAAGGTTCCCCTGAATATACTCCTAATATGGACCCTAAACCCTAAACCCTAAACCCTAAACCCTAAACCCTAAACCCTAAACCCTAAACCCTAAACCCTACATTCCCTTAGAAATTTCCTGATGCGCTGCGAGCTCGGACAGACTAGCGACTTTGGCCGCGGGGCCAAACTCTTTTTCAGCAGTTCCGCGCAGCTGGAACAGCAGCTGATACAAGGTGCCGCTTTTGCGGATCCCGGTGAGAATAAGTTCGATCCATTCCATGTATGTATGTATGTGTGTGTATGTATGTATGTATGTATGTATGTATGTATGTATGTATGTATGTATGTATGTATGTATGTATGTATGTATGTATGTATGTATGTATGTATGTATGTATGTATGTATGTATGTATGTATGTAACTGTGTGTGTGTGTGTGTGTGTGTGTTTGTGCGTGCGTTGTAACTGTGTGTGTGTGTTGTGTGTGTGTGTGTGTGTGTGTGTGTGTGTGTGTGTGTGTGCGTGCGTGTGTTGTGTGTGTGTGTGTGTGTGTGTGTGTGTGTGTGTGTGTGTGTGTGTGTGTGTGTGTGTGTGTGTGTGTGTGTGTGTGTGTGTGTGGTGTGTGTGTGTGTGTGTGTGCGCGTGCGTGCGTGCGTGCGTGCGTGCGTGCGTGCGTGCGTGCGTGCGTGCGTGCGTGCGTGCGTGCGTGCGTGCGCGCGTGCGTGCGTGCGTGCGTGCGCGCGTGCGTGCGCGCGTGGGTGGGTTGGTGGGTGGGTGGGTGGGTGTGTGTGTGTGTGTTGTGTATGTATGTCTGTATGTATGTCTGTACGTATGTATGTATGGATGGACGCATGTATGTGTGTATGTATGGATGCATGTATGTATGTATGTCTGTATGTATGTACGTATGTATGTATGGATGGATGCATGTTTGTATGTATGTGTGTGTATATATGTATGTATGTATGTATGTATGTATCTACGCGCGCGGTTTCACGTACTAGGGTCTTGTTCCTATCTCAGGGATTCTGCAGCCATGATGAAGTCAGGTTACTGCAGGCAGGCCTGCACCCCGGCTGAGGGGACCTCGCTTGGAAGGCGTTTCCTGCAGCAGTCTGCAGTATTAAGCTTGGGTAGCCCAGTGGGTTTCGGGCTTAGGATTTGTTGTTTAGGGTTGGAGGCTTCGGGGTACGTACCCTTTTGCCCCCTTTGTTGGTTCCAGGTACCCTTATGAAGTACTCAAACCCCCAAAAGGGCCCGGTACCCTTGTCAGAACATGGCTCCTGGGCTACCACGTGACAAGCTCTCCCAGGACGTTATATGACTTGACTGGGCGCGCTTGGAATCACGACTTCTACTCGGTTTCACCAGACAAGCCAAGCAAGAAGCGCAAACAACCTGGAACCATAGACAACAAGAGCTCGGGTGCAAGCCTTACAACCCGTAACCCTGAACCCTAAACCCTAAACCCTAAACCCTGAACCCTGAACCATGAACATCCCGAAGCGTTCAACCCCAAAGTCTACACCCGAACCTTGTTTGGGGCAGCGGGCTTTTCAGGATTCGGGGGCTTGGCTACAGCTTTGGAAGCTTTGTCGGCCCCCGAACCTTAAACCCTACACCCAAAACGCTAACCCCTAAACCCCAAACTCCGAAGGGTTTAGGGTTTAGGCTGAATGCTGGCGATAGAGGAGAGTTTCAGGTGGGTCGTTTGCCCCTAGCAACACCCCTTGCTGCGCCTACGTACCCCGATAGAAGACGTTTGGGGTTTATTGTTTTCGAGTTTAGGGTTTAGGGTTTAGGGTCCGAAACCCAAACATTTGCTCCTTGGAACACCCTGCTCGAAACACCCTAAACCCTAAACCCTAAAACCCTTCCAGAATCCGAGTGGAGTTAGGGTTCAGGGAAAAAGCACCCCGCTGACCTCAGAAGTCTGAGCCCAGAATCTCCCCCACATCCCAAACGTAGTTCGTATCCCTAAAATGTTTATCTTATGGTAGTTAGATGATTCCTGAACATGGTCCCTTAGCTTCTTTAAAAGGGGTTCTGAAGTATGGAGCACTGGGTTTTATAGGGTATTTCAGGGGTGTTTAAGGGGTCCCCTTTTAAGGGCCCATGTAGCTACCCTGGGTTTTGGCGTTTTTGGGTTTAGGGTCGATGATCTCTCTTAGGAGTACTAGCTGGTGGCTTTCAACACAAAGGGGCAAACCCTAAACCCTAAACCCTAAACCCTTCGGGTTTATGCAAGTCAGCG